TCAGCAGCATAAGTGCTTGCCTTGCAAGCGTGTGGTCGTGAGTTCGATCCCTGGTACCGGTAAAAATACAAAAATACAAAAGAAAATGGAACGTAGGGTGTCACACCTACTAGGCAGATGCTCTACCACTCATGTATGCCTAGCCCTTAAGTTGCTTCTCCTTTCTTTCTCCTTCTCTTTTTCTTCTTCTTCCTCCTCCTCCTCCCCCTCTTCTTCTTCTTCTTCCTCCTCTTCCTCTTCCTCTTCCTCTTCTTCTTCTTCTTCTTCTTCTTCTTCTTCTTCTTCTTCTTCTTCTTCTTCTTCTTCTTCTTTCTCCTTTTGTGGCACTGGAGATTGAACCTGGGGTCTTCTTATAAGCTATTCACCAGCCCATTTTTATTTTTTATTTTGAGTCAGGGTCTCACTGAATTTCTAAATTGCCCAGGTTTAACTCAAACTTGTGATTCTCTTGCCTCAGCCTCCTGAGTGCTGGAATTATAGCATGTGACACCTCTCATCACCATATGTAGCTTCTCAAATTGCTTGTCAGGCAAAGAACAAAACACAGAGTAAAACAAAGAAAAATTATCAACCCCTTTTGGCATGTGTATGTTAGTTTTCCATCATCCTGTAGCAAACTACTCCAAACCCAGAAGCTCAGGTAATGATTTTAAAGTGGAGGATGCTTGAGCACCACAGCATTGTGAATTTCAGCCTACAGGTCCCAGAAAGCCAAGGAAGAGCCATGAGCAGCACAGGGAGTGGCCTGAGTTTCAGGGAGTTTATTTGCTCCCAGAAGAGTGGGTGGTTCTGCAGAAGGCAGCCTCCTGTTCACCCTCTCTTCCCCAGGCTTGAAACTTGCTTGGGATCTGTTTCCCAGGCTAAGGCCCAGCAGAGAGGTACAGAATCTGGCACCACCTAACCAAGGACCAAAAACATAAGCACAGACACCTGTTCCTTTCCTCCTGTGCTTGTGTGGCCCCAAAGCTCTGTCTTCTGACTACCTTTGGGTAGACAGGGATGCAACTATTTCTCACTTAAAGTTTGAAGTGTAAGAATTCATGCTGCACATCAAAGCAGCTCATCTTTATGCTCAGAAACACTCCTCCAGATCCACAAAGCCACCACTCCACCCTAACACTCTAAGTAGATAGGTAAAACTGCTGTTTTCTCTGAAATGAATACTCTGTTCTGATCACCTTCTTACTGACTGGGTACTGAACACAGTTCACACAGACCTGCGTGCCTGGAGCTAGCCATTTTACAGATGGGGAAACTAAGGCTTATAGAAAAGAAGTGATTTATCTAAGGTGAGGCAGACATGCCAGAAATAGGATTGAAGTCTGGATTTACCCACCATGCACAGTGCTGCGTGCTGCTAGTTCAGCAATGGTGAACGTTTTAGAGCTTTCAATGGTAACAAACAGCCCACTGCAGCATATGTGCCATAGAATCACCACTATTGCTAGTTCCAGTTATTCAGAAGGCTGAGGATGGAAGGATCCCTTGAGACAAGGACGTTTTTCTTTTGCTTTTTTTTCTGGTACTCAGGATTGAATCTAGGGCCTGCACACTGATCTACATCTCCAAACCCTTTTTAAATTTTTTATTGAGTCAGGATCTCACCAATTTGCTAAGTTGCACAGAGTGAACTCAAACTTGAGATCCTCCTGCCTCAGCCTTCCTCAATGCTGAGATTACAGGTATGCCTGGCTTTGCCTGGCTTGAGAAAAAGTTCTGGTCATATGGTCTCTTGTTAAGGTATCAGATCATCTCCTGGGGAAATCTGGGGATTGTGTCTGCCTTGGCTCAGTTTACCAATTAAGTTTTCCCTCTCTGCCATGTATGGTTGTGTGTACCTGTACTTTACTCTACTTAGGAGGCTGAGGGAGGAGGATCACTTGAGCACAAGAATTCAAAGCCAGGGCAGGCAACATAGTGAGATCTTAGAAGAAGAAAAGAAAAGAAGAAGGAGGAGGAGGAGGAGGAGGAGGAGGAGGAAGAGGAGGAGAAGAAGAAGAGAAAGAAAAGAGAAAAGCACACTGGCCCAGGCTTTTCACAAGAAAAACGGGAATATATTATCTAAATCAGAAGGCTTCATCTCAGGCTTTATTTATTTATTTTGAGACAAGGGCTCACTATGTAGTTCAGGCTGCCCTCAAACTCACTATATATCTCAGACTGGTCTCAAATTTGTGGTGATCCTCCTGCCTCACCTTCCAGAGTGCTGGGTTTACAGGTGTGTGTCACCACATCTGGCTGCTACTATATGATTCTAAACAGTTTTTAACCTTTCTGGGCTTCAGTTTCCCCACCTATAAATGAAGGGTTTGCATAAATTGAGGCCTCAGGTTCCCTCTAACCTTGATGATAAATCTCTGATTGGAGAGGAGGGATAAGGCAGGGGTCTCAGGAGAGGATTTCACTAGATTCCAGGCCCCCCTTCCTTTCAGTTTTCCTGCTGTGAAGAAAGATGAAAGGATGGAATCTGGTTTAGTTGTTTGGACAGCTGGGCAGGTCAGCTACTGTTAGGAACAGAATCCAGGTCCTTTAAGGTCACTCAGAGTACCAGATTATATGCCAAGAGCTTTCTTCTCCCGGTTTGGGGAACTGGAACTCTGTATCATCTTGCCTGTACCAGGATGTTCAGGAGTAGACTCCTATATTAACCACCTCTCTTGAGCTTCAGACTGGAACTATGGAGCCTTTGAATAGAATCTTCTCTGTGCTAGAACCATCACAGGCTGAGTGAGAGAGTATATGTACAAAGATCTTGCCCTGGGAATGCCCGCCTTCCACTCAGAAAGGCACATATACAGTCTCATCACTTCTTTATTTATTTATTAGGAGGTGGAATCTTTCTAGGTTGCCCAGGCTGACCTTGAACTCCTGGGCTCAGGTAATCCTTCTGCCTCTGCCTTATGAGTAATTGGGTCTACAGGCTCGTTCTACCACTCACTTACTTTCTTTTTGCTGAAAAAATACTGCCCATTAAAATTGTCACTGAAGTATGGGTAGGGAAAAGGAAGGCTACTTACAAGAAAAAAAGAGGTAAGTAGAATCACAAAGGCAGATCTGGATATCAAAAAGGGCTTGAGGCTTTTCCCATGCCAAGCAAGATAAAGAACTTATATAAAAAACTGTGGCCTTAACAGTGTTAAGCAAACAATGAGGAATCTGACCTTAGCTCGAGGTACATGAAGAAGGGGAGATGAAGTGGTAGAGAATGGTCTGGATCATGGGGGACCATGGATGCTGTTAGAGGGGCTTGGTAAAGTCACATAAGGTTTTAGAGCAAACAAGTGGTGTACTGGGGATTAGTTTATTAGGAAGATCAAGAGATGGTATGAGGTTAGCAGTAAGTTGCTCCATGACAGGCACAGATGCAGGGGCAGTTTGGGGAAACACAATGCCACTTCCCCTAGCCTCCAAAAGCCTCTGGGTATTATTTCTTGGTTCCTTTTCCTTGTTGCTAGAGTTGAGTTTTCCTTTAGGGACTTCAGACTAGGCCAGTCCAGGGTTTATTATCATAGCATGAACCTCTGGACTAGTTCCTGCTTCAGGAGCTTCCAGAGCTACTGTTCTACTGGAAGAGGACCCGGAACATCTGAACGTGTAGATTCTGAGGATGCAATTTGTGGTCTAAGGTCACTGGGAGAGCTGGGGACCTAAAGCATTAGACTGGCAGAATCCTGAGGTTTGAATGCTTGGAAAAATCTTGTATTATTAGCTTTAGAAGAAAATTTGAATATGTTAAGAATGAGTAGGTTTTCCTTCCCTCCTTTTCATTACTTTTGCTGTCTTCCATCACCGCCGTGAAGTGTTGTCCCTCTGCCATGTGTTACCCTGCCTTAGAGCCAGCTGATTATGAACTGAAACCTCCACAAACTGTGAGCTAAATAAACCTTACCTTCTTAAAAAGAAAAAAAAAAAAGACAATGAAATGAGGTTCAGAGAGGTAACATGATTTATTCCATGTCACACAACAAGTTTGGTACATAATTAGGGCTAGAAACCAGATCACCCTAGGGAGAAGCACTCCCAGGGTGCTTCTGGTATAGGTGGTAGAGTGGATAAGTCAGGACCAGAGCTAGGGGCTCAGCTCCTGGCTCTACCATTGAACATAATCCATTATCTCGAGAAGTTTCTTAGGGCTCTCAGTCCATTTCCTCAACTGTAGAATAAAGATAATACCCACCTTATGGTGGTGTTGTGAAAATAAAAAAACCATAGCATAGTACCTGGCACACAGTATATTTTCAGTGAATGTCAGGAGTGGTCTGACAGTGAAAACAGTTGGTGTTCAACAGGTGTTTTAAAAACGCATTCTTAAGTATGAATTCGTTGCTGACTTGGGAGCCTCAATTTACCAATGGGACTAATAATTCCTGTCCTGACCCTTCTGTCCAACTCCAGTAGCAAAGTGAAGGAAATTAAGTCCTGTAAACGTTCTAGAGCAAGGCAAACCGGTCTCTAGGTCAATGTTTATTCAGTCCCTAACAATTTCTTTTCCAGTCCTACTCTTTGCAAAAATTTCCCGTCAGCCTCACTAACTCCCCCACACTGGCAGGTGCTCCCCGGAACTAGGAAAGGGGCACATCCTGCTCCTCTCAAGCTGAGGAAAAATGGGGTGGAAAAACTGAAAATGTGTAGCGATCAAGAGACGCACCAGAAAAAAGGCGACGGAAAGTGTGGAGTATATAAATGCCGAGTAAAAGGCATATACAGATGGCGACTTAAATAAGGGGGTGCTGAACGAGAGGTGAGGGCGTCGGTTGAAGTGCAGAGCGCAGGAAGGAAAGGATCCCGCAGGAAGGAGTGGGGGTCGCCTCTTTGAGAGGTTTGCAAGTGGCTCGGGTGGACCTTGCAAGCACCCAGAAGTTAGTCGCCTTCGCAGCAGCGCTCTAAGGTTCCGAGCGAGGGACCGGAGCTACTAGCCGGCGAACAGTGGCGGGGGTGGAGAGGGGGAATCCGCAGCCTGGGATTGGCCATAGCTCTGCCGGCCGGTGACGCGCGGCGGGCTGGCCCCTTTGTGACGTCACAATCAGCTGTTTGAACGTTCCAATTTGTGCAGTGAACTCCGCAGCTGCGGCAGCACAGACTCCAAACTCCGCGGCGAGCGCAGCAGCTCCGAGCATCCGGCTAGCCCCGCTGCCTCCCCGCCCGGCTCCCGTGATGCAGCCCGGCCTGTGAACAGCGCTACGACGCTCTGCCGCACAACTACCTCAGCGCCACCCCCGCCCGCTCTGCCCGCCGCGCCGTTCCGCCTGCAGGTGAGACCCGACCGGTTTGGGCCTGGAGCCTCAGGGGAGGGGGCTGGGACACGCCCTGCGCCCCCGGTACCGGGGCCTTTGTCTGTCTCAGCCGGCTACCACTGGGACTGCGTTCCCGGTTCCCGATTGGTTGTTGCTCGCCGGTTGATCTTGACGTCTTCCTATTTGCATATGACATTGAGACGTCACCAAGGCCAGCACCGCCTCTCAAACTTGGGTCGCTTGTCCTCCTGTGACCCGGTGGACGCTGTGTCAGGCTGGGCCACGGGAGACACTGAACGGCAAGCACCAAGCACCGTTGGAGGGACCTCAGCGGATTTCTAGGCTAATTGGGGGGCTGGGGTCAGGCCTCCGTTTCTCTGCTTTCTTGAGATCCGAGAGAATGTCCGACTGCACAGCTAGGGCTAGGCTGTCGTCAGAGGATCAAAGCGTCCTCAGACTCCAGGTCTTTGGGGGTAGCACCAGATGGTGGTGGAATCCCTTCTCTGTATCCAAGCTCTACCCTCCAGGGACTAATATAATAACATCCTCCTAATCCCTGCCATGTGTGCAGTGCCTTAGCTGATGTCCAACCCAGGTTCCAAATGAGGAGGCCTTAAATTCCATTTCACAGAAGGAGAAATAAAGGCCCAGAGAGGCCTCACCCTCACTCACTGTAGTTTACTGGAGGCCACACAGCCAGTTCGAATCAAGATATATTAGCTGTAGGCATATACATAGAAGGCACTCATTATAGGTAACCAGCTACACACCCTTCTTCCACTGGGGACCTTATCTTGGGCTTAGTACCACCTTGATTTGATAGGACTTTAAGGGTCTCTTCACTCCTAGTCCTTTTTCTAGGAGGTCTATGGAGAGTAGGTCCTCTGGTGGCCATGACCCCCTCTGTCCTCACTCTATCTTGGAGCCCCATAAAATCAATGCTTCCCAGTTGTTTTGACCATAGAAATGTGAGTCACTGGCTGGTTGGTTACGGTAGATGTGGTGAAGATTCACTCCATTGGCCTCTCATTATCTCCCCAACTCCCAGACTTGTCAGTTAGGAGGGAAATGACCTAGGCTAGTGCTGGAAACTACAGAGGTTGTGCTGTTCTCTTTCTCCATTTAGAGAGGGTTAGGAGAAGGGGACAGAGGAGACTTTCTGACTTTCCAAGTGGATGGGCCTTCAGGCTGGACCTGAAGCCCCATTCTGCCTATGGTTTGCTCAAGGAGGGGCTGGGCTAGGGATGGCTTAGGGCGTGTTATTCTGGGCACAGCTGCTGCAGTTATTAAAGGGTATGATTCTTTCTGGAGCAGAGCTGGGAATCTGAGAACCAGGAAGCTTACAGGGCTGAGAAAGAAAATCCAAGAGACTCTCCCAGTGGTTAAGAGAAGAGGGTAGGCACTGGCTGGCTGGTGCTGCTGTCACTCCTGGCTATCACTGATTTATTGTGTGACCTATGGCAGGGAGCTTCTCACTTGAGCCTTCCTTACCTTAAAGTCTGTAATTGAGGAGGAGGTGTAGTACAGGGTCTGGTACACAGTGGATGCTCTGGTAAATGCATACTGAATCTTGATACAGCAACCCCAGGCTTTTTTTGTGGCCAGTGAGTGGGTCAAGGTCTCTATCTCACCTCTCTGTCTCCGGTGCCGTATTATGTTCTTGGAGATTATCTGTTGAGGCTTTCCTGATTATGTACACTCCAGATTGTCTGTGTACCTAATGCTTGACTTACTCTACCACTAGCTATGTGTTTATGAGGCTCTCTCTCTGAACCTCAGACTGTAAAATGACCTAGAAGCAGATCTATAGCCACAATCCTGGAGCAGTGAGTCTCCTTATTTTCACCTAGGGAAGGACTTGCTGAACACGTGGGTCCTGGTTCAAACTTTGTGCTTTTCCTTAAGGGCTCCTGGGATCTGATACTTGTCTCCCTCCATCCTCACCTCCCACTGACCTGCTGTGTCACTGGGGCTAGGCAACTTGATCTTCCTTCTCCTAGCCAGGGATGCTGCCCTTGAACAGGAGCCTGGGAAAAGGAGGGTAGGGCAGAGAGGGCCTGTGGGGATAGGATATTCATACCTCATCTGACAGACACACCTGAGGCCTGCTCAGTCACGTGGTGAACTTGTAGTAGTTTTGCCAGGTTTCCACTACCCAGTGCTTTTTAAACCACATAGGCTCCTCCTTAGTATGTGGGGGCCAAAGACCATTATTTAGGAAGCCATGAAGAAAAATAAGATCCTTCTTCCCAGAAAAATACACAAGAATCATGATCTCTGATCACTAAGTTTAAAATCGAGGTTGGTCACCTGGCAGAGGCAGTGAATCGTAGTGATTATGGATGGTGCTTCTGGAATCTGACTGCTTTGGTTCAAATCCTACCTCTTAACTTTTCTAGCTTTGTAGCTTTGCACAAGTTACCTTATCTCTCTGAGCCTCACCTTTTCTTTCTTTTCTTCATGTGTCAAAGAGAGATAGTAATCATGCCCACTCTTATTTGTTTTAGGATAGAAGAAGGTGAAGCTGCTTAGTGCCTGGCACTTGAGTATTATTTATTCTGATGATAATAAATAATCACAGTGTGGGAAATTTGTCTCCTGCCTAGAGAATTCCTATTTACTCTTCACGGTCCACTTGGATGTTGGGTCCTCTGGAGCCCTTCCCTGACAGAAGACCTTCATTCTTTGTCCCTGAGTACAGTATCTTGTAATAAGTAGTTTATTAACTTTGAGTACTTGCTTTGTGCCCACGGACTGGTCTAGACACTTTTAGTTCTTAGTAGAGCCTAAAGGTGGATGCAAATATAATCTCACTTAATTCATGCGTGTGGTGCAAAGCACCATCATTGAGCAACATTCCTAGACCCAGTTCATTTAATTCTGATGAAGCCTCAGAGAACTATGCTATTACAGTAATTTGGCAGATGAGAAAACTAAGGCATAGAGAGCTGACTTGTAAGTGCTAATAGAGGACAGAAAAGCCTGTATACAAATGCAGAGAACTCACCGCAAACGCATTCCCACACACCAACTTACCACTGCCCTGGGGGATAGGGATGATGTCCTCCGCCCTGTTCTCGTCCGAGAGCGAACTTTATTTAGTTATGGCTCCTTTCTGATTCCTAGGTTTTTCACAGCCATAGGGCGCCCCCGTGAGGCCGCTTCACTGCCCCACCATGTTCCAGCGCCTCACCAGCCTTTTCTTCAGCACCCCTTCACCAGCAGAAGCCCCCGACTGTCCTCGAGCCTTCGTCTCCAAGGAAGATGAAGTGGATGGCTGGCTCATCATTGACCTGCCGGGTGAGGCCTGAATTGGGGCCAGGATTCTGCCTCCCGGGCCTGTGGAGTCATCATAAGGACAGGCGGCCCAGCAGTGGAGTGGGAAGGAATTGCTAGGGATTGGGGAGTTTTCCCAAACCTACCAGACAAACTGGGCTGAAGCTGACCCCCGTGGGTGGCGTAACATGGCCCGTTCTCCTGTAATGCTAGGCCAGCTGCTGGCAACAAGGTGTTGGGACCCACACTTCAGGTCCTGGGTCTAGGGCAGCAAGGGGAGACTCGGCCTGTTGCTCCGTGGGCGCGGCAGGCAGGGCTGCGGGTCTAACTGACGATGCCCTTTTTCTCCCCGCCCTCTGTGTCGCGTGTGTGTGTATACTCGTGTGTGTGCGCCTCCTCCGCTCCCGCATGGCTCCCCTCCCGCGCCGCGTAGACAGCTACGCAGCTCCCTGCAGCCCTGGGGCCGGCCCCGCCCCCGCTGGCCGCCCTCCACCCGCGCCCTCCCTGATGGACGAGAGCTGGTTTGTTACCCCTCCCGCCTGTTTTACCGCAGAGGGGCCCGGCCTCGGGCCTGCCCGCCTCCAGAGCAGCCCCCTAGAGGACCTCCTCATTGAGCACCCCAGTATGTCCGTTTACGTCACCGGCAGCACCATAGTGCTAGAGCCAGTGCCGCCTTCCCTGCACCCAGACGCTGCCCTGCCTGACACCGACCTCAGCGACGACGGGTGAGCAAGCAGAGGGTTAGAACCTGGAGGCGAGGGTCCGGGTCAGAAGGCCGTGGGAAGGCGGCCCAGAGAGCCTGGCGGGCTCAGAGGGGCGTGTCCTGGCGACGCGGGGGAGGGGCGATGGGCGGGGTTTTCGAGGGAGAGAGGCGTGTCCTTGTGGCTGGAGGACGGTTGGGAGGGTCACCCTGGAGAGGTCTGGGCTGGATTTGGAGGCCACAGCCCACCGCTCTGGCCTGGGAGGGACCTGCAGATACAGACTGAGTGAGGGGTGGGACCGAATCTCTTAGGAATGGTTTACCTGTCCCTAGGCTAGAACCGAGGAGGGATCTCAAGCGAAGGCAAGGTTGCGGGTAGACAGGGTAGAGATCCCAGTGTCCCGGCGTGCTGGCCCTCTTTGACCGACACCCCTCCATTGTTACAGAGAGTTGGCCCCTGCCCGCCGCGAGCCCCGGGCCCTGCACCACGCTGCTGCTCCCCTGCCGGCGCGGGCAGTGCTGCTGGAGAAGGCCGGCCAGACGCGGCGGCAGCAGCGGGCCCGACAGCGGGCCGAGCGTCACGCGCTGAGCGCCAAGGTGGTGCAACGGCAGAACCGCGCCCGTGAGAGCCGTCCACGGCGGCCAAAGCATCAGGGCAGCTTTGTCTATCAGCCGTGCCAGCGCCAGTTCAACTACTGAGTGTTGGCGGCTTGCACCATCAATCTGTTGCTGTCTCTCAATTCCCGTCTGTCTCTTGTGTAGCGGCCAGTGTGCTGCTGGAGGGACAGCCAGCACCTGGGACTGGATACCACACCCTTGAGGTGGAGTGATGGCCATTCCTTGACTCCCTCGGTTTCCCCATCTTTGATCATCTAAATCCACCTCTGACTGCCACCTTCTGCCTCTCTCATCCTCCCACACTCAGCATCTAATCGTCCATCCTTTCCACCGTTGATACTCTAAGCTTCCCTCCCTGACTCCCCTCCCTGTGTCTTTCACTTTGCCCTTTTGGCCCACTCCTCCATTTCTGAGAGCCTCTTCTACTCTGACTTGGCTCATTCCTCACCTTTAGCTTGCACCTTAGAGAACTCATCTTTCCTGAGTTTGGCATTACACTCCTGTCCCCTTATTGCTCATTTACAGTAATTTTCTCCAAAATGGATAAAGGGAGGGGATCCTAAGCCCAACTTGACCAGGGAAAACCTGTGCAACCCCTATCTCTTTGCCCTTCAGGAAGAGGTCTGGCTCAGAGTTTTACTTTTATCTCTCCCTTCTCTTTGCCTAGGGGGCTTGGGCTCCTTTGAAGGCTGCTTTTAGGCCTGAAAAGGTAAAAGTATGTGAAAGAGGACAGTGAGATGTGTGTTTGATTGAGAAGGTGGAGGGATTCAAGGGAATGAGGCAGTCCACTAGAGATGTAGAAAGGATGGATTGGAAAACTGTTGGGAGCAAGGCATTATGGGAGCTGGCACTATGGTTGCTCAGAGAGGCAAGCCTTGCTCTCAGGCTGGAGCCTGGAGTCTGTCCCCCACCCCCATAATCCTACCTCTGTGTCTTTTCCTGAAATTACCTACTACTCTGCAGGCTCCCAAGTTTGAAGGGCTTAGTACTTTGTCATCCTACCTTGACATGCCACCCCAGGAATAGAAGCTGGGAAAAGCTTTGGCATCCAGACCTAGTGTTTATATGTCCAAGGTGCTAGAACTGGGCTAGGAGAGATACAGGCCAGAGGGCTTTTGGGGTAGGGAAAGGGCACATACCCCAAGGTAAGAATGCACTAGAATGGTGCTGAAGAGGATAAACTGTGGTGTGAAGCCATATCAAGACTGACAGCTTAGCCTTCAGCTTGCCTCTGGCCTTGTGTTTCATATTCTGCGCAGTATGGCTAATAAACACTCCTGGGCAGGAGGCCAGGAGCCCCACTGTTCCCTTTCCCCAACTATCCTATCAAGGTTCAGGACCTTCAAAGTTCTCATTTTCTCTCACAGGGCTCTTCCTTTCTTTTGGGGTACCTATGAATCCCTCCCCCTTTCTTTTAGTACTTAAAGCAAGGAACCTGAATCCTTGGATGACTAGGGCAGGGAAGGCAAACTTCCCCTTCTTGTGGTGGGATTGAATTTTGGGCTCAGACACCAGCAAAAGCCTCTTGGGATGCCCTGAAATGCTTCTCATTCTGTCTTTTTCTAATGTGTGCTTTCTTCCTTGAAATTTTTAAGATTTCTTGTTACATACTAACAGGTCTTCCTTTTCATCCCAATTCCAGATTTCCAGGCCTCTGGCCAAGCTGGGGTTGGAAAAAACACTGCATTTCTATTAGGGCAAAGGCAGCTGCCCTCTCTAACTCTATAGTCTCTAGCCTCACATGGCATTTGTGGAGAAGAGGGGGAATCCCCAGTTTCTAGGGTAGGGGCAGAAGCAGCCCTGCTGTGGTTTTCTATCCTGAGTAATAAGCCAAATTGACATTATAAGCAGAATGAAGTCTCCCATGCTGTTTACTAGGACCCTAGTAGTTGACAACCTTGCTCCTCTCTCCAAGTTCTCTAACCTATATACTTTTATTCTTCCAGCTACCCTTGATTACATTGTAGCCAGCTTAGGGCCTTTAGTACTTCCAACAGCTAGGACCTAACCCTTTTTGCTACTTCTCATTACCAGCTGATGCCTGTGCTAATCCTGGGCAGTGCCCATGATCCTGCTGGTAGGAGAAGAGTTAAATGGCATTTTGGCTGACATTTCTAAAGGCTCTGCACCCTTACCTGTTTCTTGAGGTTCCTATAGTTCTAGAACCCCTCAATCTCTCACTTGGCTGATTGCAAGGTTCATATTTTTGTACTTTCCTATAAATCCTGTAGCATTTGAGTGTGGCAATATTTTAATTGTGTATAGATTTCTAAGAACCAACACTACTCAAGTCTGCTAGTCTGACTCCTGAAGCATCAGACCTTGTCATACTGTATTGACTGTGTATGTGCCTTTCACCTTGAGCATGCTTCAGGATTTTCTTTTTTAAATCACAGAACTTGAATAAAGGAGGGAACCAGAATTCACAAAGTCCTATGCAACCTTAGACAGAAGAAGGCAAGTCTGTCTTGACGTTTTCAGAGACCCTGGAGAAGTCTGTACCAGATTCTAGTATTAATGTCATTACTACCAGCACTTTGCCAAAATTAAGGATGTTAGAGAGACCTGTTTCTATTATATCCAATAGTGACTTCCAGTTTTTCCTAGTAAGTCTTGAGTGGTTCCCTTAAGCTGGTTGTCACTAACATTTGCCAGAACAGTCCTAGAGGGTACTGTGTGTGTGAGTGTAGTCTGGTGCTGTTTTGGAATATGCCTGCTCCCCAGTCCCCTCCCTGGAACCCTACGATCAACTTGCTGTGATCATAATGTCTTGGGTGCAACAAGGAACCCAGCACCATCCAGCTCTTGGATGCCTTCCCCAGATTCACATAGCTGTGTGTGAGAAGACTGAATGCAGACACACTATAGCCCACTTCTAATACTTCCCTCTTATCCTGCCACCTAGTTCCAAATAGAACCAACAAGTTGAATGCATCCCTGTTGGGGGTTTTGTGTTGAGAATGGCTGAAATGAAAAGACTTTTGGTTGACCATGTTGTGATGGGTTGACAGACTTAAGGACATAACCACCTCGACCTGGTCATGTGGCATGCCTGTGTATGTGTGTAACAGGATTCTGATTAGATTGTAACGTTATTCCTTTATTGGAGAAAAATTAATATAAACAAATAAAAATCTATTTAAAGCACATTATGTTTTATACCTGAGTTTAGTTAAACCACAAGGTGCAATCTAATCTCAAGCATTGTTAAGATAATATTAAGCTGGTTTTGGTTGTGGTGTGCATCACAAAGGGGAAACTTGCTGGGAATAGTGTCTCAGTAAAATATTTTTAGTGGCCCCTTACAATGTAAGATACATAGGAAGATGTGAAGTACAGATGAGAAGGAGAGCATGACAGAATCACCGACTCATTGTTTTGGTCTCAGGCAATGGGTTCTGGTAAGGGAAGGAGCCCCTAGAGGGGAAAGAATGACATTGCCCTAGGAGACAAAGCAGAAGGTTTAGGCCCAATCTGAGACAAGGCCAGTGCCCCAGATTATTTTTATTACTATTATCTTTTTCTGAGGCTTGCAATGTAGCCCACGCTGGCTTAAAACTGATGGCAATCCTCCTGCCTCAGCCTCCTGAGGGCTGGGATTACAGGCATGCACCATACCTGGCTTGTGTCCCACATTCTGGAGTTTCCTGAAAGATGAGGATAGGGTGGGTACAAAACACAAAACTTTGAAAATTTTGAAGGAAGAACTGATTCAAGAAAGGAAAAACCTGGACATGCTGATAAGAAATCACTCTCAGGGCTGACACAGATGAGAAACAGGCTGCCAAAGACTGGGATGTCATGGACATCTATCTGTTGCTTTAGGGAGTTGCCTGGCTAATTGAAAAATATGACTAAAACTGAAAATCTCACCTAAACTGTGTTAAATTTTTGATGTTGGTACAATCTTGTTCAGTCTTGGTGCATCCCCTGAATGGAGGAAATGTAAACACAGTTGTTTGGGGGCAATCATATGCACAGAGAAGAGATATATGAGGCAGAGGAGAAGTACCATTTGGGCTGCTGGCAGTTTTCTGTCTCTAGAAAATTCCAAGTAACTTTTTTATCCTAAGTTGATTATGTTATTTGCAATCATTTTTTAAAGAGGGTTTTGCTATGCAGTTCAGGTTGGCTTTGAATATACGTTTTAGCCTAGGCTAACCTAGATCTTGCAGGGATCCTCCTGCCTCAGTCTCCCAAGTGCTAGGATTACAAGAATGTGCCAAATCTTTTTGATCTACATATATAATGAGGTGAACAGGGGTTAGTTTCATCAAAGCCAATGACCTAAATGAGCAAGAATATGCAGTTTCAATTTGGCAGGAGGCATATTAGGTGTACAGTGTGTCTAGTTTACAAGGCTATGTCCATTCATTTACTGTTGAAAAAGCTTGCTCACCCAATAGTCCTTCACCAATAACATACCTTTATGTTCTATGACAAAGACAATTTATTTAACACATTCAGTATTTCACATTGTACAAACCCTTAGATTCTCTTTATTCACTGGTCCATTTCTACAACAAATACATCCAAAACACTATATAATAAAATTATTTACAACATTTTCAAATGACAAGATTGCTTTTGCCCCTGCTACTGCTATTCACACACAGTACTTCCACAGCACAATATACCTCATTAGAAGATCTAAAAATGTTCACCCTGTACTCTAGGCTGCTTAGGAAATTTGAAAACTAGTAACATAATGGCATTAGCTCCTCTCAATACATGGCAACATTTTAGAAACCTTGAACTTCATTTTGCAATACCAAAAGGGCTCAACAATTCTGCTTTTCCCATTGCACTTTACAAAATAGGTTGCAGGGACTAGGAAAAGGGCCACATTATTAAAATGACTGTACAGAAATAGATTTTAAAAAGTCACAGCTCAAAATTGCTCTTTGTAAAATTCACAAACATTTACAAGTATCAAATTGTTTTCCAGCTTGTTTACTTGGATTTTCTTCGCTTGGATTGCACAGCACTGGTTATGTCTGTAGGGGAAAAAGAAGGATATATTCAGCTGAAGCAATTCTTTACTGCAATGCCCTTTAGACAGGCTACACTAACCAAGGCCCTACCAGGGTCTGTGTCAAAGGGACCCTCGGTTTGGAGTCTTAGGCTTTGCCTGGTCATTTATTGTGGGAATACTGTGTGGCCTTACTAGGGTTTAACAACTGGGGAAATGTGACATAGGAGATAGAAGATGAAATATATGCCACACTAGAAAAAGTAGCAGGATGGAGAGGAGCACTTTTTTAGGTGCTTTTTAAGGTAATTAACAGTACCATCTCCCTCTGGTTCCCATCACTCAATAAAGTATGAATAAGCTGGGTATCGTGTTACGTGTCTGTACTCCTGGTGCTTTGGGAGGCTGAGGCAGGGCACTGCACATTTGAGTACTACATGAGCAACTCAGTGAGACCCAATCTCAAAAAAATAAATAGGGCTGAGGCTGTAACTTACTATACATTCAATCCTGAATTCAATCCTCAGTATTTAAAAAAAAAGTGTGAATGAATTGAAAGTACTTTTGGTATTATCAGTAAATGATGTCACAAATTAGTGAGTAAACTACCAGAAAAGTAGTCTTTGGATTCCTTTTAGAGCCAATCTATTATTCTGGAGTAAGGAACTCTTTGTGCCATGCTACAGTCAAAGTCTCTAAAACAGTATGACCGTGGACCTTGGTCATCAATATCTATGTGGCCCAGGTATATCAAGGCTATAGATACACATGTGCACAGAAGTAATTTTGAAGAAGCAACAGGGGAGCTTCAGGGCTACAACAAAGCAGGGAACTAGAATTTTATACATAGGGTAACAGTGACATAAAAGGAAATGACTGTGTTTTAATTCCTTTCATCTCTTGTAATATAAGTATTTTATTTCTTGTGGTTCTAAGGGCTGAACAGATTGCATGCTAGGCAACTACTCTACCAATGAGGTACAGCTCCAGCCTTTTGTATTTTTATTTTTTAACTTCTGACACAATGTCTTGCTAAATTGTCAAGGCTGGCCTTAAATTTGTAATCTTCCTCCCTCAGCCTCCTGAATAGGATTACAGTTATGAGTTACCATGCCTGGCTTAAAAATGTCCAAAATTAACTTAATCTGTACAATCAATAGCTTGAATTCTCCAAGTGTGAAAAAAATTTAAAATCCTTATTAACTGTACTGACCGTATTTATTGTTTGGTACCAGGAATTGAATTCAGGACCTTGTACTTGCCAGGCAGGCACTGTACTGCTGAGCTATATCCCCAGCCCTATACTGACTTTAAAAAGCCACTTATTTTTATGCTTCTTAGTAGATTTTTTTTTTTGTCTTTTTCCTTTTTATCGATACGGGGATCGAACTCACAACTGCCTGCTTGCAAGGCAGGCGCTTATGCTGCTGCACTAAATCCCCAGCCCCCTTAGTAGATATTTTAATATGAAAATGTTTTAAAATATTTCTCATCAAGGAAAAATGCTTCTAACACATTAATATAACAGATGAATCAAGTTTATTCAGTTCAATAAACTAGGCAGAATTTCTGATGCTACATGTTAGGTTTAATGTTCTAAGTAATTTTCTCATTCTTTGGATCATAATATTTTTTGTTCCCCATTTGAAAGAACTACAACAGGATCATAATATTTTGATAACTCAGGTTCCTTTAAACATGTAGATTCAGCCAGGTGTGGTGGTATACTCTAGTAAGGTAATCTCAGCTACTGGGAAGGCTGACACAGAAGGATTGCAAGTTTGAGACCATCCTAGGAAACCTAGTAAGACCCCCATCTTTAAGATAAGTGTTGGGGGGGGGGGCTGGGGATTTAGCTTAGCGGCATAAGTGCCTGCCTTGCAAGCAGGCAGTCGTGAGTTCGATCCCTGGTACCAATAAAAACGAAAAAGAAAAAAAAAAAAAAAAAGATAAGTGTTGGGGCTATAGTTCAGTTTTAAGAGTGCCCCTGGATATGATCGTTAGCATTGTGAAAAAGCAAAAGCAAACAAACAACCCCCCAAACACAAACAAACAAACAAAAAGTAGATCTAAAAAGGCGAAAGGATATCCTATTAGCAAAGAATGTCGCCCATATAACTTTCTGAGGTGACCAATACAATATTTTCAGTCTTTGGTTATTGAAATTTTCAGCCTTAATTGGCAGGTCATAGTGCTTGTGCCATGTGGCTAAATCAGTCTCTCTGATTACTCATCAGTCTTTTGTATCAGAGGACAGTTAATCTGACAGGATGTCAATAATGGTATACTTTAATTCTAAGAGAGTTTCAACTCATGGAACTCCCTTATGTTCAACTTTCAGACTTAATTTTCATTGCATCAAAATTGTCATTTTGCAGCAAAGTATATATAAAGTTTTGTCTTGACACCATTTATTTTTAGAAAATATCCACATTAGGTCAACTTTTAGAAGATTCTCCCTTGTCGTGACAGGAAGGTACAAATATTATATCTGTGAAACATATAGATGGCTAGGAAAAGAGCTGGAGAGTGGACAGATAAGCAGTATCCGGATCTCTTTCCTGCTTTGCTCATTTCCATCTACCACTGTTTCAAATCATCCAATGAAATGGCATGCTGCCTGAGGGTGAAGGGTGGTAAGGGATTTTAGGGGAGTGATGGAATAGCTAAAAACACAATCAGGCTGGGTGTGATGGAGTAGGCCTGTAATCCCAGCACTTTGGAAGCTGAAGACAGAGGATCACTGAGAGTTTAATGCCATCTGGGTTATATGAGTTCAAGGCTTGGGTACACATTGAGACCCTGTCGCAAAAAATCAAAAAAGTCAAGGTGTGCATCGGATCTTAATCATTGCTTTTCTCTGGGCTGTCTGGCCTACTTGAACAACTGCACTCCCAACTCCCCCACAATCAATACTTTACTGTATAAACACACACAGGAAAATTTCTTCAGTTTACATCATGGATTAGTGCCTTCAAATACAGAAATAGTTCAGTTTGGTGGTGTAAATCAGGACATTTTAAAACCAACTAAATGGCAAAGAAATAGTTAAGGTTTTTAGGCTATTGTCCCTACATGTCACTGGAGAACATTTAAATTTGTAATTTGATACGGGGATTTTTCCCCTCAGTCTAGCTGTCTCATTGTGACCTTATACAAATTTGGCCAAATCTAT